TTATTATAAACAATTGCCTTGTAAATGGAATTTTTAAAGCATTCTGAATGTAAAAATAAAGAAAAAAGTGTGCAAGACAATAAGAAACACTAACTGCCAAAAAAAAGTGAAGTTTTGTTGAAATCGGTTGAAAAATGTAGAAACCGATCCTATATATAAACGAACACAGACACACACACAAACAATCTGGATTTTATAATAAGTATAACTTGATATGAGTTGTCCCTTTTCATTCTTGGTGATGCCTCTTAATCGTGTTTTCAAATTGATTTCGTGCAAAAACAATTGTATTTTTCCAATTTTTTGCTGTCAGAACCACTGCAAAGGTGATTTTACGTAGTCCTGTGAAGTTTATTTGAAATCGGTTGAAAAATGGAAACCGATCAAATATATAAACGTACACACACACACACACACACACACACACACACACACACACACAACCTGGGTTTTATAATAAGTATGATATATATATATAATATTCTTTTGCGCGGCAGTAGCACAACTCAGATCTCATTTGCAAGGTCATAGTTCAAGTTGACAGGAGACCGACTCGCCGATCAGGAGGATGTATGAACGTCGACGATTTGCCTCATCAATATATGGCCAGCCCAGTGAAGCACTTACATTTTGATGAAAAACATCCACTCCCTAATTTTCATAAAAATGCGAGCCAAGAATTAATTATTATTGCTTTCGCCAGTAAAAAAAAAATATCAAATATACATTAAATAATGATTCTGTTTGAAAGATACTGCAGACTCCCTTTTGACTGTGGCCAATCCTTAATCTTCATAGTCAACCAGTTTGTCAGTGACTCATTCAAGAACAACCCCATCCCAGCTGATCATATACGTGTGGGGTATGTAATCTAAGTACAAAAGTCATGTTCTTAAATAGCCTCGGCGTATTGAGACTTTCATATGGATGCCATGCATGGTGCCAATCACGTTCAGAATTATCTAAAGCTATATAGATCCACTTTTTTTTCGGAGAGATTATTAAAAATATCTTCGAGACTGTGAAGAGTGTAAACCTCAGCGACAAACTTCTTTCATCGAAGACGGCTGTTACAGAATCATAAAGAACAGTACTTTATATCAGAAACCACATCACTTGAGGACATTTAACAGCGGCAACACCTAAAATGGGTAGCATATATAACTTGAAGAGTGAATAATCATACTTATTATAAAACCCAGGTTGTGTGTGTGTTCGTTTATATATTGGATCGGATTTCCTACATTTTTCAACCGATTTCAACAAAACTTCACAGGACTACGTAAAATTACCTTGCGGTGGTTCTGACAGCATAAAAATTTGAAAACACAAATTGTTTTTGCACGAAATCAATTTGAAAACACGATTAAGAGGCATCGTTGTCGCTAGAATGAAAGGGGACAACTCATATCGAGTTATACTTTTTATAAAACCTAGGTTGTGTGTGTGTTCGTTCGTTTATATGGGATCGGATTTCTACATTTTTCAACCGATTTCAACAAAAACTTCACTTTTTTTGGAAAGTAGTGTTTCTTATTGTCTTTAGCACTTTTTCTTCATTTTACATTCAGAATGCTTTAAAAATTCCATTTTACATGACAATTGTTTATAATAAATTATATTCAATCGTTAGACTCATAACGATTGAAAACAATGTTTTTGTTTGAGTTTGGGTTTGACCAAAAAAACAAAAAAGAAAACTAATAAGACATGCGTGTCCGTCAACCTTAAACAATAATCTTTGTCAATTTTATTTTTCAGTCTTTATGATGGTTGATACTTGATCTATCTCTTACTGTTACATCCTCGGGCAACGCCGGGCTCCACTGCTGCTTAAATAATAAAAGTGAACTTCCGCAAACCGCACACAAAATGCGGGGAAGGAAACCCCAAAACAATACTGGAAAGTGTGAACTTGGAAAACCTATTTTTTTTTTAATAATTTTGAAGAGAATGATTTTTATAAATTTCAACATACAGTAGTACTAACAGTTTAGCTATTTCTGAACAGGTTTGGCGTCAGGCATCTCATTCATATAATAGTTTTGTTCCGATTAAGCTATTTAAGAACATGACAGATTTGAGGTTAATATTTTGGTTTTCCAGCAACACTCACTTTCTCACAGACGTGATGTGGCTTCCCTCTGTCTTGTCTACAAATATTTTCATGGCAACTGCTCTGACGAGCTGCTTTTACTAGTTCCCAAACGACATGAATTTAAGCGTGCTACTAATTTGGAATCTTAGTCCCACCCTTTCACTGTCGATACAGTTAAACGTAATCACCTCTTCTACTCCAACAGCTTCTTCGCTTGCACTTCCCGACAGTCGAACTCCCTTCCTCTTACATGCTTCCCTGATAGCTATAATCTTCAAATATTCAAATGTATTATCAATCGACGTCTTCTTGTGCCTTGATCCTGATCACCGTTCTTCTCTATATCCTTTCCTCAAACAACCCTCTTTACTTTTGCTCCTACTCTCTGGAATCCGTTGTGAGCTAGTGGCACTCTCGCCTTGCTTGAGGTGAAATGCTTAAAAAAAGATAGATAGATAGATAGATAGATAGATAGATAGATGAGCAGATTGAGATAGATAAATAGAGTCCTCAAATATTTAAATGTAATATCAATCGACATTTTCCGATGCCTTGATCTTGATCACCGCCCTTCTCTATATCCTTTCCTCAAACAACTTTCTTTACTTTTGCTCTCACTTTCTGTCATCCCTTGCGAGATAGATAGATAGATAGATAGAACGATATGAGCAGATTGAGATAGATAGATAGATAGATAGATAGATAGATAGATAGATATGAGCAGATTGAGATAGATAGAATCCTCAAATATTCAAATGTAATATCAATCGACATCCCCGTCTTTCCCTATATCCTTTCCTCAAACAACATTTTGCTCTCACTCTCTGTCATTTCTTGTGAGATAGTGGCACTCTCGCCTTGCTTGGGGTTAAATGCTTAAAAAAAACATGTGGTGTTGGACGAATCTATGCCTAGCGCAGCCTATTCTATGTGCAGTTACCTAATGTTATATGCTATTTTTTATAACTGATTCATATATCGATGTATTTGAAATGGTGAGTATTTAATAATTCCAAATACTTAAATTTTATGATGGATTCATGGTAGATGCGACCATTACAATTCCAGATCATAATTTCTATTTTGGAAAAGTTTATCTTGAGTGTTATTTATTGGAACACTTGGTAAAGTATGTTGATTTTTCTGATCATTATTATCTTAAATATGAATAATTAGTGACTGTATAATTGAATAGAATGTAATATATATATATTTTGAAGAATAAACAGCTGAAATCGAGACACATCATGGTTTGTCGTTGTCTGCAATCCAATTAGCGCCTCGGATTCACTCTTATGCAGCTTTCGAAATCGGAGATTTTACGTCGGCTTGTCAGGAACAGATGCGCCAGACGTCAGATGGCATCTGTTATATGTCACAGGCATTCCCATAACGTCAAGGTACAGTGGTCCCGCCGTACCGTTATCATTATATACTGCAATCGCATTTCTTTTGGAACGTAATTATAAACAGAAACATGCACACAAATCGGTTGAGCTCTCTGGGGAGGAAGTGTGGGTTTGTAAACAGTGACTATTACGGCTAATAATGCATGGTTCTACGGTAAATTGAATCGAGTTCTCTCAGTCACTGTGTGCTTAATGGTAGAATCTCCGCTGACGCCAATTTAGTCGGGTTTCGATCCTAGCTAGACGTAGCCGGACGTCTAGCAATGCTGATGAGCTGTGATACAGCGAAACAGTCTGTCTGTGGATGACAATATATAACCACCTGAAAAATTTATTTCGGTTGAGCTCTCTGGGTGCGGAAGTGTGTATTTGTAAACAGTGACTATTACGGCTAATAATGCATGACTCTTCGGTAAATCGAATCGAGTTCTCTCAGTCACTGTGTGTTTATCTAAATATAAATACGCTTAAATTCACCTTTATCCCTGCCGTGCGCCAACCGCTTAGTGGTAGAATCCCCGACTGACGCTAGAGGCAACCAGACGCCATACAGATGAAATGTGATACAGCGAAACTGTCTGTCTGTGGATGATTATATATATATATATATATATATATATATATATATATATATTCCGTTGTATGAGGGTGGAGCAGCTCAGGTTCCGATACCAGCACATGAGATTTTATTACAGTGGTGAAGGCTTTGTGCAGAACCATCCACACTTTTTGAAGGGCTGAATACAGAGACCTGGTGCACTACGTGCCACAAGGTCCTCAAACGACACTTCGCAGGTTTTGAATTCAGAGTTGTCCTCCCCCTAGACCAGTTGCCATCCAAGGCTATAGAACCCAGTCTGTCCTGTTATTTATACATAGGATAATGCAATGGATTCGATTGAAATTCAAACTCGGCTTGGTAAGGTTTTAGGACACCCGCCGGAAGGCAGGTCATTACCAGCCCGCGGGTCAAGCGCAAAATTTAATCATTTTCTACCAAGAAGTGTCCGTAAGGCTTGAATTTGAGTTTCTGTGCTCAAAGGCAAGATATTAGGTGGCTTGCGCGCCACGACCCACCCGCGCGTCGCGTGAGATTCTTGTTGATTTTTCCACTAAAATTTGCTCAGAAATTAAAATGTTGTATTTGAAATGTTATACTTTGAAGTATGCTATACTTTTGTGCTAATAATAAACTTTATAAAACATTTACATTTAGTATATATATATATATATATATATATATATATATATGTGTGTGTGTGTGTGTGTGTGTGTGTATAGGAGCATGTACGTATGTGTGCGTTGCGAAATCATCCTCCTGTTTTGGGCCGATTCCAGAAGGGTTTGATTCGCAACAAATGCAGTCGAATGTAAAATTCTGCCATTACCCGTGATACGGCTCATTTCCGAATTGTAGTCAGTGCATCAGATCCCGTCAATTTCTCTTGTGTTGCAATGCAACCAGTGAGCCAAATCATGACGGTTTATTCTTATGCAATGTCCGACTCACTATTGTCTCACACGCCATGTTTTTTTTTATCTAATTTCTCTGTTATATTAAATATAGCTAAATCCTTTATTTCACCATTTTTTGTACTTGAACGTTTTTTTTCTATATCTACTTATGTTTATAAATATTAATAACTGACGTTAAACTAGATGAGGGCAACACACTACGCCTCCTTGGCTTCGCTTTTTCCCCTTGAGATGAAGTGGAATGACAATATCGAATCAAAAGCCGTATCTACTGCAAGGACAGTTTGGTCACTGTGCTGTGCCAAAAGTATTTTCGCGTCAGAATCCATCTTGCATAATTACAAATCTACCAACCGTTCGTGCATTGAATACTCTTACTATATCTGGTCTGGTGCTCCTGCTGTACATCTCGAGATTCTTGTAAAAATCCAAAGAAGGATCGGTAATGCAATCGATCCTGACCAGACATCTCAACATCAGTTACTTTCTCACCGACGCGACGAGTCTTCCCTCAGTTTTTTCTGCAAATATTTTCATGGCAACTGCTCTAACGAGCTACTTGCACTAGTTCCCAAACTGCATGAATTTATATATTATATATATATATATATATATATATATATATATATATATATATATATATATATATATATATAAAATAAAGGAAGAAGAAAATAAGCATTTCTATTCAAATACAAAATGGCTGGCAAACATCATTGATAATGGCTAAGAAAGCGTACTGATCCAAAGATAGTGTGTACTGTTATAATACCATATATCCAAAAAAGAATTCACTTGCATGCATACAAGAAAAATATAATAAAAATCATTGTCTTGCTAGTTATCTTCAAAAAAAAAACTTATATAATAGCGGGATTGGTGCTCTTTTTTCTTTTTTTTTTTTAAATAACTGCACCTGCCGAAAGAAATATAATCTGTCCCTTGGACGTCGATGTCTGACAGATAATATTATATACCGAGCTAATATATATTCCGGGAACGATGTCAAATTTTATTTTGGTTCCACTGAAAACCCTTGGAAATTTCGTTTCTAGCTTCATCGAATGACTTTAGGTAATATATAATACAAAAAACAGTATTGCTATCTCTAAATATTTCTGCCAATTAAAGAATGATGGAAATACACCTATTATCACCTTGCTTTCAAACTTCAATGAAGATTTCTCGGACATTAAGGCCGCTAAATTTCGTTAATACTGTTTATTATAAAGCATTTACTTAAATATTTGTATCTATAAAAAGAATCTATAAACATAAAAATGTCTTAAAATAATTGTCGGACTTTGTCCATTTCATAATGTGTGACGTTATATGTTTACATTCGGATACGCTTTGAGCAGGTATGAATGTACGTGAGAGACTCATGGAAGATTTAAGTTAAAAAGCAATAAAATCGACCTTGCTAATCGAACGATCCTCTGTCGCTCGATCGGTTAAGGCACGTCAAGCTATATGACGATTCCGTAGAGGATACAGGTTCGATTCCTGTCGGAGGACGCATATTTTCTATGAAGATTTCTTGGACATTCAGGCTTGTAAATGTTATTAAATTTACTTAAATATTTGTATCTATAAAAAGAATGTATAAACATTGTCAGACTTTGTCCATTTCATAATGTATGTATATATATATATGTGTGTGTGTGTACGTGTAATTGTATATTGGGGCAGCAATCCTTCTTTTATACAAGTTTCATAAAAACGACTGACATTGTGCTCTTGATCATTACAAATTCATAAATAATTACATTAGATATACTACATGTTTAACTTGAAGACTCACGCTACATCTCTTTGGCCAAAGTTCAGTTAGGTCTCCTTTAAATACACATGGAGGCCTACCAAACTCTATCCGCAAAATACTCATCGATAATACAAATATAATAACTTCATACACATATAAAAAAAGATTAAACATAATGGAAGCATTATTGAAAAAAAGCAAAAGCAAACACTCAATAATATCAACAATGAACACGTCCAAAATGTGCTGGCAGTGTTTGGAAAATAAAACATTCCTATAACTCTAGATAACATACATAAATATATCCATACATTCAGTTATAAGTGAATATAAAATCATCCTCGATAATAGCTATATGTATAGCCGAAAGCCCTCCGACATACAGGACATTCGGACAATTTCTATAAAGTTTATGTCAGGGAAGAAAAAAATGATAACGTCACAAGAAATATTAAATAAAAGCTTACCCACTATGCCTTGGGAGTCCTTTTTAATTAGATTATATAAATATGGCCTGAAGATTGCGTTTAATCATAAAGCAGACTATCGCCGCTTACTGTTGACCTCAGTGTCTCCTTTTATATTTAAATACATTCTATCCCTGATATTGAACACTTTATTCCATAAATATAGCATATCTTAACATATTTTCATCACACACACACACACATATATATATACACATATATATATATATATATATATATATATATATATATATATATATATATATATATATATATATTTGGACATAGATCAATAATTTAATAGGTTATCTTAAAGGCTTATTGCGGTTAATAAAACTGATTATTTATATTTAGTAAAAGTTTAGGTGTAATTAATCCTATTTATATATTAATGTGAAAACGTGAGAGATTGCCTGAGTGATCTTGACAAGATATATATATATATATATATATATATATATATATATATATATATATATATATATATATATATTAATCCAGTTACGTAAGTTTATCCCATGGCTATCGATAAGGTGAACGCCTTATCAAATATATTTGCAATTCTGAACAGAGATAAGTTTGTTCAAATTGCATTTTTGCTTCTTAGTTATAAATCATGCAACCG